ATTTAAAAGTAGAATATCTCGTCGATGGATTATCGGAAATCAAATATTTCAAAACCGAAATTCATTTTAAATGTTACTCCCCGTCTATTTATGAATTGTTTAATATAGGTTGTCATTTGAAAATTAAAAGTAGGTAGTGGTTTTGCCCCCCAAAACATAAGAGTATCGAAAAATAACATAAATGTAAAATTGTAGAGCTACTTGTTTCTTAAATGTTCCACAAAAACGAATTTTGAAAAAATGTATTACTCTCCGAGATAATGAGTGTACCCATTTCGTATCATGTGATTTGTTGGCATAATAATTTCAAAAACCTGCAAATAATGATGGTGATTATGATAAATAGACGGGTAACCTACCTGCAAATTAAACGCAACGATATTTTGATTGGTCTATACAGCGAGGTGTCGTTTTAAACGCCAAAAATATTTTGTTTGGCAAAAAGTTCAAATTTAGACGTTATTTATGTTTCTAAAACCTATATGTGTATTGGCTCGTCATTTCGTAGTTGTTGCGCTACTTTATTTACTGTCGTACTAATGCCCGGGCTATTTGTCGGACACTGCGGATGCCCGAAACACAATACATCACCGATTATGTTTTTTTGAGAGTAGGTATAATTCTTTTGACGGACCGTTTAATTCTGAAAGGAAATCTTGTACGGACACCTGTTACGAATTCGGAACGTTTAGTCGTATTAAAATCTAAACGACAATAATAATCATGCCAATTTCACTCGTCTGATTCTTTCCTTTCCGCGGGAAACGGAGGTGGCGAGGTCACGATATATATTAGGTCCTTCCACGTCCTCTCCTCCCGGCACGCAGACGGCAATAATATTATCTCTGGACCGGAATAATGTCCACGGGGCCTCGTGGCGTGTGAAATTCACTCCGGTGACAGCAATGACCCATAAATGTTAGGTGGGGGAGGGGGGCCTAAAAAAAACCGTGCGAGACGCCAACGTTGTCTTCGCGATGCTATTTTCGACCGACGTAATTATTACTATATCATATACTCCGATAAAATAAATATATTAATAATAATAATAGTGTGTCCACTCATCTGTGTACGATGTTATGTGAATTCCGCGCCCGGTCCGCATTTACATGTATTATGTTTACAAACGGCTCCCACGGATTTTATTTTTTTACCGACAAAAAATAGAATTTTGGCGTTATAGCCGATGATTCACTTTCTCGCACTAGGCCACCGCCACCGCGGAGAAAAATCGTTTTATTATACTGAACATTTCAATTTAACTGAAAGTAAAAATGTAATAAGAATTATATATTGTACACGTTACTCGCATTCACGCATACTTTTATTTCCGCCACCACCGTCGTCGCTCGGGTGATTAATAACGAACGCGCATATAACTGCATTGCATTTGTGATACGTAAATAAATTAAAGAAAAGGTAATTTAACAAATGGGAATATTCAACCGTGTCTGAATAAAAAGCACGCATTTTTTCGCATAATGCGAATTAATAACGAATGAAATAATAATAATAATAATAATAATAATAATAAAAAGGCTAAATACTGCTGACGGGTGTGTGGGTGTTCTACTGTTTTAGTAGGGAAATGTGAACGTAGAATATAATATGATGTATAGAGTATACTATTTAGTTTATGTTTAATTTATATCTGTACCCAACAATAAACCATTGCGAACAAAAAACCATTCCGAGCGGAGTATTTTTTTTCTCTTGTGGCCAAGGTAACACAGAAATCAACAAATATTGTAGAACAAATTGCCGGTTTTTCGCATTTATCAAAAATACTACAAGGAAAACAAAAAAAAATAGCCCAAATGAACAAATTAGATAGAAAAAACTCTACACAAAAGTTCATACAAAGTTATCGATTCGAGTAAGATTTTTAATGGAAAAGGTGTTTACAAACACAAAAAAACATATAATAAAACCGATATATTTCTCACTTCGTTCATATAGTCTAATTAAAGTCTATATTAACGTTGAAGGTGGGTATCAATTTGGAATGTCAACCATATCGCCTAAAAGTATATGCTTCGGAGCATGCCATTAGACATTGATATAAATTAAAATAATTCAACAAAATAAACACTTTTCAGTAATTTGGGTTAATAGCTATCGCAGTATCGCGTGAATTCAAAATAACTTCAATACGTTCTAAGTCATTATTAATAGTCAGTATCTTTAGTACTTTTAATTTATACGCAAATAAAATAAAAATTAATAGCGTTGAGAAACTAAATCAAATAAAAACTGTTTATAAATGAATAAAAGAATATATAATATTTAAGTCATGAAGTTACAAAAAATAATGACGTTAATAACAATATTTAAATTTATTTTTATAACTTTGATAGACCATCGTACAAGTCCATAAAACTTAACTAATATTGCGTTAATTTTATAGAATCTGTATTGTGTCAAACTAAAGAAAACTTTCTATTATCTGCGTGTGCTATAGGGTTTACGAGAAAACTTGTTTCGGTTCAAAATATTACCTATACATAAACGTGGCAAAACTTTGAAAACGAAACTCAGAAATTGAAAATTTTGATATTGGATATTTTCCATGTTTTTCCGTTCCGAATTTTACTTTGCCAAATTTTAACTTTCCAAGTTTTGATTATCCAAGTTATGCTACCTGTCCAACTTATCTTTATTATAGGTTCAATGACCAAATCAATTTAAACGATTCACGTTATATTATGGTATTGGATATTTGATAAATAACTATTAAAAAATTCGAGATACTGGTGAGAACGGCTGAAAGAGCATCAATTTTATGTAGAATTTAATTTAATTTTATCACATAAAAATAATAATCACTTTTGAAAATTATTTTGCTAAACAATTTAGAAACAAGAAATAAAGTCGGTTTTTGATTTTTCGTGTAGTTTTTCTAATAACTAAGCAAAACCGGGAAAAAATTTAAAAAGAATGGTCAAGTTAACGGACATAATGGTTTTATTACTTTCAATTTTGTTTTGTTATTATAATTCAGTAAAAAATATTCGAAGAGACTTTTCTAATCGTGGTAAAATGTTAAAACTTTATTTTAGAGTTTATTACGTAGTTTGAATTTAGTAAGTACTATATGAAAATAATCATTTGACCAAACAGAAATATTTAATTGGACAAAGAAATAAAGTAGAGGGTATTATAGTTATTATGGTAATTTTAGATTCTGAGCGGAGTGTGGAATGTATTGGTTTTACAATGATGTTTATTATTTTATTTTTTTTATACTGTGTACAAAAATTCTACCAGAAATCTTCCACAATCCAGTGTATCAAGTATAGCATTTTTTCCAAACGGAAATTTTATATAGATAGTAATAGTTGTGGAGGTCATTTTTTGATTTCTCTCTAAGTTTTGTAATAATTGGGCAAAATTGAAAAAAAAAAAACTTGGGAAAAACTGAAAAATGTATTATTTTTTATTTTGGTTTGTGTTGTGAATCTGTAAAATATTCGCAGAAACTTAAAGTTTGAACAGAAATCTTAAATTTGTTTTTCTAGACGTGGTAAAATGTTCAAAATATTTGAGCTATTTTTGAGCTATTTATAGACATTTTAATTTTTCGAGTTTTTTACGTTATATTTCTTTGTTATTGTATACTGTGGATAAAATTGTTAGACCAAACAAATATGCTTAAAAAATTAACTGGAGGTTAATTAGAGATTGTACTAAGTGGTCATCAAGAAAAAATTGAGTTTTATATAGTATTTTTTTTTTAATAAGAATTTTAATAACAAATTTTGATGAAAATCATAAATATTACGGCAAACGAACTTCGTAAACAGTGGTTTATCATTGTTTATAGATATAAATTAAATAACTTTTATCCTACCTTCACAACTTTTCATCTACAACAGTGGTACATCCGCCCCCTGTAGTATCAGTTTTCTACGTGTGTGTCTGTAAAAAACTTTTCTATCAGAATCAAAAACTTTATAGAAACTTTCTTATACAATCTTTTATTAAGTGAGAGAGGACGAATTTGTATTTTTCTTAAAGTTTTCTGAATAAATGGAAGAAAAAAAAATGATGATTTGTCGTATAATATCCATTAACTTTTGGGTTACCTCGACATATTTATAGAAACTTTCTTGTAGCATTTCGATCTAATTACATGGTCATTTTTTGATTTTCCTTGTTGACTGCAGTATTTTTAATAAATTAGTAAAACTTGCAATTTGTGTATATTGTTGTTAATTTCTCTGTTGCCTCGGCAACAACGGAAGACTGAACAAATAATACCAACAACACTCTGCTCGGAATCGTTTTTCGTTGATTTAGTGTGGCGTACAGATACAAATCAAATTCCCCTCTACACCTTTTCAACTTCTCACCTACAACAGGGGCCCACCCACGGTGCGAAGTATGTCCGTTTTTTTTTTAACATATTGTTCTTCTATTAAATATTTTATAGTAGTGCATTAATTATACTGCAGTTGTTGTCTAATGAGAAATATCGTCCTTTTCTAAATGGCATATTGTATACACTTCGAATTATTAAAATGTATAAAATTGTACGCCATAATTAATCAATATAATAAGTAATGTATAACGGCAAACAGAACGATAATATATTTAAAAAAAAAAAATCAATAAGTTGTACCTAAGTTACCTATGGGCAATCGAATGTTGACTATTATATTTAACAACAGTCCTGCGTTTGATTGCTACGCGTTAATTGTCTGGACCGTACACATTGTTGTAGTCAAGATATATAGCCACACTAGGGACAGTGAGTTTATTTATTTTTTAAACACGTCAATTTTTTTTTTCCTCGTCGTCCGGGTTGATGATTTTGCAAGCGGCAGCATGTGCGTGCAATTTTAATCGTCGAGACACAGGGTCAAACGGACACGTCATAAATGAACGTCTTATGAAAAGCTACAAATAAAAAGTGGTTTTTTTTTTTTAATAACATTAATACGCCTGTGTATTGTTTGGGGGCCGAGTGGGAGGCGCGTTTCGTCAGATCCAAGCTTTTCTATTTCGAGCGAGACCCTGTGACGACGACCGAAAAATCGTACCATCCGCTATAATTCAGTGGCACGAGAGGACCGGCTCAAGCAACAAGACGCTCATCAGGTATGTTTTAATGAAACTTGTATTATATTTCATTTTTTCCCAATCTCGATAATATCGTTATTATTTTTATCGCTATTATCATAAAAAGTTTTTAACAATAATATTTTCAATATAAACTTTATAATATTATAAATACGGGTTTATTTTTTTTATTTTTTTTTTTTTTTTTTTTTAATTACTGGTCGACTTGGAAAGTTTTGACACCGATAAAAACAATTTTTATTCTTCCACACTATTTAATTTCACCGGTAATGTTTGTTCGCCGTGATTGACTATACAGTTTTAATACCATTATATGATTTTTTTTTTTTTCACGATTAAAAAAAAATATTCGTATTGACATTAATTTAGAATACCTATATATTATAAACAAAATAGTTTTTAAAACAATATTGCAATAGCAATTGCATATAAAGTTGAATCATCTATTTTACATTTCAATAACGTATTAAATTGTAATTTGAAAAAAAAAAAAAAAAAAAAAAGTAATAAACCGATTAAATTAAATATCGACGTGTTACGCGAATCCGTTTAGAACGAATTTTACCGAGTCGCGTGGTTAGACGTTAGACGTATATGAATATTAAAATAACTATACTCTAGGTGCGTATCAACCGTGAACGCAGATAAATAAATGTAAATCGACGCGGTTCCGAATTGTAATTCGATTTCGTTTAATATTCGACAGCGTTTGTCGGCGTCGGTTTTCTACAAATTCAACGGACGGCTCGACACCGTGCTAAACGACCGGACGGTATTGCAGCGTCCGTTTTTCGTTTATTTTTTCGATTGTTATTCGAAAAACACAACGCGCGAGATACCGACGCGTGCCCCGCACGTCCGTCCGTTTCGCGACGATTCGTGCGGGGGATTATTTCGCCGCGGCTTTCCGTCGCGGATAACACCGCGGGTTTCCACCGCGGTCGGCCGTGCCGCGTACCGACGATTTGCGGCCCGGTCGGCGGTCTCGACGAATCGCGGGAAAAACGCGATTACGGGTCCTTTTCCCTTTTTCGGTCAGCGGGCTCCGTCGACGTGCCCGGGTCGCGCGTCCGCAAATAACGCCGCAGCGCGAACGAACGGCCGGCGGTTGGCCCGGATTCCACGGGTTTATTATAAGAGTTTTGGCCGTCGTCCATGCGGTCGGCGCGGAACGGCGGCGGCTCCGGCGCAATCACGGCCGACGGCGGGGCCGTCCGTCCGTAAAGTCTCGGCCGTGCGTTTCGCGCAGAACCCGAACAGCCGAAAAGCCGGGCAATGCGAACGCGACCGCGCGTTACTATCGGCACGTGATTGTATCCGCTTTAAAATTTAAAACCGATCGAAATTTTACGGCGTCAATTTTAGCGTGTATCGATAATAACAACAAACGTACGGGCGTCGGTCGTTCGAAACGATCGGTTCGCACGCGCCCCCCGCCCTCCCCCCCACATTGCTATTATTTAGCGGGAACGGAGCGCAACCGTTCCGCCTCGTCCGTCTTTACGCCGTGGTCCGTTCGGTTTTTTTTTTTCCCCAAAACGGAATCGATACGAGCGCACAAATAACCGATATAAATCCGGCGTAAAACCGCTAAGAAAAACGAAAACCTTTTCCCTTTATTCGCGCAGTTCTCGACGTTGTACTCGTGTACGGTCCAGAGCATTTCGTACGCCTATTCCGTTGCTGTACATTTCGCCGCTTTCTGCAATATTACGAGCGAACGGGTTTTAAAAACGGAACGGTTCCCCGATTAAAAAACTACAGTCCGTTCGCGAGGTTGACACGCCGATTCCCGATAAAAAACGCGAACGCAGTATACACGATAATATCGCCGTCGCGATGTAAATCCGTAATGTTAGACAGACGATTTCTCGCTTTAACAAAACGTCTGTAAAACGTACGCGGGGACCTTAATAGCCCGGGAGTCGGCCGTCCTAAAACGGCTGAAACGTAATAATATAAATGGGTCTCCGCGTCGGCTAAACGTAGGGCGAGGCGGTTGGCCTAACCTTTCTCAAGGAAAATACTTGACCCGGTGCCAAAGTCCTACGTCTATTTGTACACGAGACCAGAAAAAAAAAAAAAATGACCGTTTGGCTTCGGATTCACACACGCATCAGTCAATCGCCCGTTGAATAATTGCATAGTTTTTTTTTTTTTAAATATTATACCGTACAACTGTGCGAGATTCGTTTTTTCCGCCGGGCGGGAATTCTCGTCGTCGCGGCGATTCGATTTAAATCGGTTAACCGGTCCGAACGTCCGTCCTCCAATACGGCGTAAAACAATATACGTTATTTACGGATTTTAAAAACGTGCCGCGAGACTCGAGCGCCGCGGATCCGGTTTTACTTTTGATCGCGAACGTGCAAACAAGACCCAATAATAGATATTGGGTACAACACTATTACCCGCAGATATCGCAGAATTTGACGGGGGAACGGCGGCGAGTGAACGAAAAAAAACAAAAAATAATAATAATAATAACGGGACGAAATACATATTGCACTGGTATCAAGGTTAAACGGCCAATAAACAGACGTCACTTTTTAAAGATGCGTGCAAATCGCGCGCCCGGTGTAATAATAGAGCAGGCCGGGGCGGCGCATGCCAAAAAAAGCCCACGGGAAACCGCCGTGGCCCCCGACGGTTTCCAGATGCCAATTCCCACGGTCCTAGTTTCGCGTCGCCCCCGCCTAGCCGTCCGCAATATTCATCGTAACGAACGTTAATTTATAAATACGCTTGCACTCCTGTGTCCGGTCGGAACAACGATACGCGCGGGTTTCGGGAAAAGCCGATGGGCGTACCGTTTCTAGTGGAACAAAAACCCGTCAGTGTGCTCGAAACTCGCGCGGTCGACTGTACCGGTGGTAGATTTCATACGCGATCGTTTTTTAAAACAATACGCGCGCGCGGTGTTAGCTGTACGCAGGTAAACATTTTTTTTTCTAATAACATTAATGGTTATTAAACGGCGTTTGACGAAATTCGCGTTCGTGGACGCGGGGGGCTTGGCGTTTGTAAACGGATTCGATATTTTAGGGGGTTTTTTTTGAAAAAAAATTCGCATCGATATTCTCGAAAAAAATTTACTTCGTATAAATCGTTCGCGTCGTATTAACGTACCGTACGTTGGCGTACGGGCGTATAGGCGATCGACGACGATAATAATCGCCCGTGAGGGTTATAACAAACGAATAACAATTTTTTAATTTTTTTTAATTTTTTTTTTTTAAATAAATCACAAATCGAACCCTCTGAACAAGGAAATTATATTTTTCACAAACGGCCGTGCGATATCGTGACTTACGGGCGTACCGTTCGGTCAACTGTATATAACATACACAGAGCCCCGCCGTATTATAACGCCGCTGCAGTACACCGACGCGATGTTTACCGTACGGGTTTAATAACATACGATTGTATTTCTATCTCCGGTGGATGAAAACTGATTATTGTCGACTCGGGAACAAGTCCGTAATCGTGTAATGCCCTTTGCGATATCAGCGCGCGTGTGCACGCGTCACAAACACGAAACAACAAAGTCACGGAAACCGTCGAAAACGCCGGTGCGGAATACAGAACGGAACGTCCGGCTTTCGGACATAATAACGTGCTCGGGATTCGATTCCGATGTAATAGCGTTTTCTGAAATGCCATTAAAGAAACACGCAGAGTGTTTCCTACAATTGACCGTTCGAACGCCCGCGCGCGATCCGCATTGACCGTAAATCGAATTGTGCGTCGCCACACAATTTTACACGCCCCGGTCCGCCGTAATTGTGTGTCGTTCGCACGATTGTAAGAGCGCAACCCCTTGTCGCGCGTCCGCTGAATTGAAGAGGGTCGCGGCGAAACACCCGTGACTAAACGAGACGTATTTCGTTTTTGTTTTTTGTTCCAGTATCTCGTTTTCAATTTGTAACGCCGTAGCCACAAGGTCGACCGAAATCGAACGGAAATGTTGAAGCAACATCTTGACATGATCGGAAGGAACGAGCCCATCCAGAGGAAAGCCAAATTCTGGCAATCCTATGTCAGAGCACTGAAAGGTATGTAAAGGTTTTGTTTTTTTTTTTTTTTTTTTGAACGTCTACAATACTATTAGCATTCGTCAGTGGCGGAGGACCGCCGTCCTATGTGTTCGGGCGATTTCGGCCTATCTCGGTCCACGTCCGACGCGTCCGATTGAACGGTTCGTTTACAAGGGCCGGTGCTCGGGGTATCGCCGGTTCTCGCGTGCAATTTTCGGCACATAGTTGAAAATGTATGCCGGCTGCGACACGCGAGTCCGGTGGCCAATAAACAATGAAACACCGGCGTTTTCTACAATTTTCGCTTAGTTTTTTTAGAACGTCTGTTCGGCGTTTTGAAACATTCTATTAACATCGCCAATGCCGGCGCGATTCAATAGCCGAGTTAATATACCCGTCAGTCCCGTGCTGCGCCCGCCTAATCCGGCCCCGGAGGTGACGTATGAAAATAATAACAATAAACAGCAAAAATAAAAAGCCGTTTTACTACACTTGAAAGTCGCCGGATCTCCATTGGTGTTGCTATGTATGCATGTACGTTGCATTATAGTACGAGTTATTTTCGATCGTTACCGCCGGACCGCGGTAAAATCGCCTTTTAAGCGACCGACAGTGACATTTATTATACCGATGGATAGGGACTAGCCAGGATGACTCGGGTCGAGTACCGCGTATCGATCACACTTTCCGGGGTTTTATCACGGCGATTATGGACAAATCGTTTTGTTGTAAAAACGCGTTCGCGTTGTAGTAACGATTATTGCACGTTCGTGGGCGTCGTTTAATTGGATTTTTTTTTTTTTTTTTATTATTATTATTTCATAGTCTCGGCGAGATCGTTAAAGCTAACTAGGTTAATACGTACATATTTTATGACACGATACTTTTTAAAATTATTAATTTTTTTAAATACATATTCTAGTGCGTCTATAATAAGAGTACCGCGTTCACAGTAAACAACATTTTGAGCCAAGAAATGTCGAACGCTTCTCTGGCAATATTACATTTGTAATATTTTGATTTTTTTTTTTTTTATTTTAATCTAATCGGCCGCACTGTAAATGTTGCGCCCCAGAATCGATTAACGTTAGGCAACTAGACGTGCATCCACGAACGTCGTGTCGTACACTCGTACAATTCCGGCGTTTCAACGAAAAGTCCCAACAGTAATGCTAATATTACGAGCACCTTATAAAATAAAAAGCGACTGTTTAGAACAATGACTCCCTTCCACCCAAATCAATCTCGACCCGCGCGAAAATTTAAAACAGTACGGAATAAACTGTAAGAACTAACGATCAAAAACCAAAAACCAAACAAAAAAAAAAAACATAAACAAAATCGCCTCACCTTATTTGTGGAACCGAATCGATTATAAAATATCATTTCTACACTGACCACGACACCCATTTTAAGCCTTTTTGAAGTCAGGTCAACACGATTCGACAGATTATTTACACAAAGTTTTGGATTCTTAAACACAGTTTTGAATTTCTCTCCGTACAAACGTCGACACACCTTTTTGAACGTATAAACGGGCGACATTTAGCGAATTTCCACACTGTAGCCTAAAGAAAAATTCTTTCTTAAATCTAACATTTTATGAGAAATCACTTCGCGAAATTCAACGTTTACACACCCGGCATTCTGGACTGGATTTTGATCGGTATGTCAGTCTGCACATTTTTCCATTCGGGTTATCTTGACCAAGCACGGAAAATCACAACCGACACCTCGCGTCTTTATACCGGGCTAGTGATTACCGATCTCCACTCAAAATCGTCTTTTGGTCGTGGTGATTTATCGTTCCTTACAAACTCATCGTTGTCCCGCTTTTCGTTCCGTCCTCGTAGATCGATAGACGGATAAATTATAACTAGGACTCGGTACTTTATACATTAAAACCCACAGAAAAGCGCTTGAAAACAGCCCTGGACATTCATTTTTTTTTTTTTAAATCATGAATGACAGGAGGATTCGCAGGAGTTTAAAATTCTCACCACCACCCCCTCCCCCGTTACGACTCTAACCATTAAATGCAATTTTCTAATACTACAAAACGATTAACACACTTTTTTTTTTTTTTTTTTTACGATATACTCACGATTTCATTTAAAAACTCGAGTTAATCATTTTCGTAGTGTTCGAAAATCGTATTTTATAAGTTCGAGCAGCCGTTGATCCGGGGAGACTATTAAAGACATACTACCATTTTTCGTTGGTTTTTTTTTTTTTTTTTTAAATGCGTTTTCAACGCTTTTTTGAAGTTTTCGGCCGCTCTTTTGTGGGTTTCAAGCACGCGCGAAATCCGTTAATCGTTAAACGTACATGACTATTATTGACCGTTGAAAACAGGATCGGACGACATGAGGGCACCGGAAATCACTCACTACCACACGCCGGGCAGAGGAGTGTTCAGACCGATCTTGAGCGTCGACTACCCGACATGGCCCAGCTACAAGTCCATCTACGACGACCCGAAGCACCCGACCGAGAGGATCAACACGCCCGGATACCGTTACCTGCCCATCTCCAGAGACACGTACGGCATATCCCCCAGGAACATTTACCCACACAACTATCACTCCGACCGCTACCCGACATACGGTACGTACTGATGACGACGTCGCCGAACCCGCACACACACCACCGCTATATAATAATAATCATAATAATAATATGTACCGCTATATAATTATTAATAATAATAATAATCGTAATAATATAATAAAAAACAGTTCAATCGTACACATATACACGTATATTATTATTATTATTTTTTTTTTTTTTACTCTACTCTCAATATTGACGACGCTCAACTCTCCTCTCGACAACCGACAAACAAACAGATAAATAATAAAACGTATACGCCCGTATACACGTAAACAACGCGCGTATCATTCGTGAAATTGTTTTATTATCGAGAGATTGTTATCGTTGTTATCCGTGCGTCGCACGTACACGTCGGATACGGTAATGGACGCGCGCCATGAGTACACCGAAATCTAACGTACGAACGCAGCCACCACCCACCCGCCCCCACCCCACCCCCACGACCCAACCACACGGCGGTGAAAACGACAATGAGACTACGGGTGCCGCCACCGTGCGACGACCGTTCGCGCGCGGTTCGGATTTCGAATTTCGGAACGGCGCGGCACCGCGGCGCGTATTGCCCGCGGACACGGAACACTTTTTGGAAATTCGCTCGTTGCGCGCCGGCCGCGTCGCGGGGATTCCCGCGATTCGTATCTCGGGGGCCGCCGACTTTGGCGCGCGTCATTATCGATCGACCGTTTTCTCTCCGTATATTTCTGCCGTTCTCTCGCTCGCTCGCTCTCTCTGTCTCTCTCTCTCTCTCTCTCTATCTATCTGCCCGCGAAGCGCCGGCGACCGTAATCGGCTCGTCGTCCGCCGACGTCGAAAACGTTTCTAAAAGTCGGCCGCGCGCGACGGACGAAAAAACGCGCGGACCGACGTGTAACATGTAAACATTGTACGCGTTTTCGTTGACAGAAAAAAAAAAACAAAAAAAATCGCAATCTGTTTGTTTTCGATTTTTTCGTTTTTTTTTTTTTTGGTTTTTCTTTCTCTCGTCCGTTTCGACAATTCGCAGCGGTCGAGTTAATTTTACCATTTATTTTCGACAAACGGTAGGACATTGTTTATTGTGCAACAATGCGATGTGTACATCAGGCGTTATCGGAAATATAATACCGTATTATCGGTACAACAATAGTGTTAAAAAAATCGACTATTTTACACCCTCTCCCGTCGAAAAGAAAGAAAAAAAAAAACGGAAAAAAATAAAGTATACGACGTACACAACGTATAACAACGTTGATTTTAGAATATACACTCTAGAGTCAATGACAAAAAATAATGTTACCGAATTATATTATAATATACCGGATTCTGTTTTGTATTACGTAGGTATACACGCACCGACCACCCCCCCCCCCCCCCCCCCCCCCCCCCCCCCTTNCCCCCCCCCGCCCCCACTCAACTGTTTTTGTCGCCTTTGTTATATTATTTATTTTTTTTTTTTCTTGTTTATATGATTTACGTATTTTATTTTATTATTATTATTATTATTTATTTTATTTTATTTTATTCTTTTTTTTTTTTTTTTTGAAATATAATTACTTCTTACTATTTAAATATTTTTGTTTCGCTATTTTTGAAAAACCATAAAAAAACAAAAACCACGCACGTTCGACGAATTAATAATGTAGTAGTGAACGTATCACGAGCGTCCAACAGTGAAATAGGTTAAAACAATATTTATTATATTATGTCCGGTTGTTCGGAAACGCGGCGCTTGTTATCCGCACCGCCCCGTGTACGGTTATTTGTTATATACTCGTGTTTAAACACGGATCTTGCTAAAGCTTCTTCCGCGGCCCCGCTACCGCTTGATGGGTTCGACGAACTTTAATATTATAATAATATTAATAATTATTGCCCGTCTAACTTAATAATTGATTTATTAATGGTCATTTTACTTTGTCGTCTAAACACACGCAATCTAAACCAACGGAAGCTTTACCGAAAACGGGGGAGGGGAAAAAAAAAAAAAAAAAAAATGTTTCGTAGTTAAAAGCGATAAACATTTTTTTTTTTTTTTTTTTTTTTATCAAATGTTAATCAATTCGAGTAAGTAATCGAAACACGTTATTTCGCCTAATATAACAAAAACAAAAAAAAAAACACGGTACAATACGATAATAATATTGTTGTACACGACGCGGACGATGAGGGAGCTAACACGCAGCTGCTGCAACCACCCCGACACCCCGTCGGTATACCTATAGGTAAGTATGAATGATAACAATAATATAATATTGTAAGTAACAACTTGTACGCTTACGCGTCTTCGTCTCTTATACAGCAGCGGTTCTCGGCTTTTATGCGACCCGGCATATTTCACGCGGATTTTTTTTTTTTTATAAAGTCAAAATACGACGGGAGCCATACGCCCCTTTCGCATTTATCCGGTACCTGGTTGAATTAAATTCAGTAGGCATTCGCATTATGAATTATCGTTGTACACTCGTATTTAACCGTGTGTATGCGTATAAATATCCGTACGTTTTTCAGCGAAATCAAAAAAATTGAACCCTATGTTTCGCGTTGTCACGCGCAATCGTTTAAAAATCACTCGGCGAATGGTCGGGTTTTTTTTTTCGCCTTTTTGGCGGGCCATTTTTTTTTTTCTAAAGCTTTCAAACTTTTACATTGTCCGGACGAACCAATCGTCAAATGATTCAAACATTGAGAAACGCTGTATTATAGGATAAATCCGTTTTAACATCCCAATTTACCTATACAACATAGATTACATCTATGCGTCCATAACGTTTTTTTTTTTTTTTTACCAATATCGGTAACATTAACGCTACGATTTACAATACAATAATATTATTATCACGACGAATGCGCGTGACGACAATAACAATGATAATAACGTGCGTTTATACTGTCCGTGTTCAGATCCCTATCACACAGAACCGTTCAAAGCGTTACAAGACTGGACGGACCATTTGGATCGTTTGGCCGAACTGAACAAAATATTCCCCGGAGATCACCCGGCGTACTACGAACCGAAAAAACCCTTACCGTTACCGGAGAGACGAGCCACGTCATTACCGCCGATCAAAGGTTATAATTACACAGGTAACGTTACCGGAACGGTTTTGGCGTTTAAAAAAAAAGAGATTTAAAAACAAAAATTCTAAAACCGACAAGCTTCGCACCATTTTTCCCGTACGGGAACTGGGAAGATAGGATGTGTAAGCTAATATATATATATATATATATATACAGCGGTCAAGGCAGTATTGAGAATTTGCTACTTACTCAACAAAAAAAAAAAATGCCGTAGGGTTGCTAATAAAAAACTATTTAACTATTGCGAGTTAAACATATTACGATAAACTTAAATTGAACGTTGTATTAATTTGTAACTTAAAAAAATCGCGTTCTTACGGTTTTGAAGCAAACATTTTCATTTACACGATTCGAAACACACAGTAGTATAATATGTAGTTGGTACGCGAAATGATTTTACAGATTTTCATCAAAATTTAAACTTATAGAAAAATGACTATTACTTTTTATTGATCGCTAAGTACAACTATAATAATGAACCGTGTCGAATTTTCGAGTGTTTTTTAGAAACCAAAACAATTTTTTTCGCACCAAAAACAATAAAAATTGTAATTACGTCGTGACCACTGTAATTGTTATTAGACTTCTTTGATATCATAATTCTTATCTCAACCCGAACAGGACTACCGATTTACTCGACCGGTGGCGTTAAGAGGAGACCCCTCTCCGAGTTGTTCGAGCCAAGCGTGTACACTCCCAGGTCCAGATACGTACGGGACCCGTGGTGGTGGGAATACCCGCACCTAAAACCTTACACCCCGATCAGTTCGTCGTACAGACCGCCCGCGAAATCGTACCTGAGGAACAGCTACTTGTCGCCGATCAAGAGCACCTACTTGTGGGGACACCATCCCATCAGGCCGTTCAGTGAGTATTAGTAGATATTATTAGGTGTTCGAAACGACCCTCGATCTCGTGCCTCATCCGACGGTCCGAGTACAAATCATGTAGACGATAGTAAACGGACGGACCGTCGTTTTCGGCCGTTGTAGTCGGTTATAGTCGGTTTTAAGAATTTCTACGGAGTTCTAAGTAGAAAAAAAATTTAAAACTGCCACACGACATGCAGTGCACATACACCCTGTGGCGCCCAAACAATATGTGTATGGTGTAGCATAAACTGAAATTCAAAACCACCACCCACCTCAAAAACATTTGCCCGTATAAATACACACTTTCCAACCCCTACAACCTTGAATGTTTATACCCATTCTACCCGACCGTCTCAAATGCCAACTACCGGGAACGTCCGCCCGTCCAAAATAGGACGTGTAGTAACCGCTACATTAGGTGTATAGTTTGGGCGCCAATGTCTACACCGAAAAATAATACAATCGCACGGTACAAAATAAAACTGCCCCGGAAATACCACCAATACGGTTTTTTACTAAATATTGCGTTGTCTTTAATTTTCAGCCCCGAGCCACTATTATTAAGAAGAAGAAAAAATACGATAGGTCAGCGATGTCCTGAACGAGTCGAATATCCGAACGCAAAAAAAAAAAAAAGCGCGATTCGTGCGGAACTTATCACCATCGCTCATTGGCCCGAAAATGCTATGCGCATCGTCACTTGGACACTCTGGATGTTAATCCATCAATTTCATTATTTATTATTTATTCTGAATGTATTTGCGTACAATATGCTTTGTATACAATCACCGGAAGTTTATTGTAAGCGTTATAAATTATATTACTCACAAATACATAATGTTATAATTTAATGTGCACACGTTATAAATACAATATTTAAACACTATACCATTGACGTGTTAATTACCTCTAACGCAGTTTAAAAATAAACCATCGAATCGCATGACTCGCGGTCGATTGACGTTCGTTTTTAACGATATAGTCAATGAAATCTATAGTTAATCAGTGATTATTTTTAATTGGCACGAAGGTCAACATAATATGTTTTTTTTTTTTTTTTTTTTTTTTTTCTTTACCGTAGGCAGTTTAAAAACAGCTAGCGCCAAATATAAATATATATATGTATATCCCGAAGACATACAATACAACAATATATTTGAATTAGTACAGGTAAGTTCCTATACCTATAAGCGTAACTTTCAACTTACACCAATATGGTACCGAGGATGAAAAGTTACCGATATTATCGCTTTTAAGACTATACTGTTGTTTGGCATTTCAAAACGCAATAGTCTGGAAAATAAAACAAGCAACAAATAACAGAAACGTTTAAATCGCATTGAATAAAATACGAAATGTAATTTGTTTCAAGACCATGAATTCGGCACTACTTTTTCTTTACTTTGGCCAAATATTGCCGGCTTCTGTGTCGCCCGTTACGATGAAAAACTTTTTAAGACGGTTAAAATAAACATTTATATTAAATTTTAGTCAGCTTTTTTTTTTACAAAAAAGATCCGCAAATCTAATATAAGGAAGCGCCGGTTTAATTATTTGTCTGGAGGCGGATCCACAGCCGAATCTATCAAACGCAGAGGTTTAAAAATGTAAAATGGACAAATGAGTCTGTGCAGAGCATTTCAAAGCAGAAATTTAATTCCTAAAGAATCGTTGACGCGAGGTTTTTCGGTATCTTTGGATCAAAAATTAAAATTTTTTTTTATTTTTGAATTACCTTGGCGACACGAATGAAAAACAAAATACCAGTTGTTATTGTTGATCAATTTAATTGGTTCCGTGCAAATGTCCAGCTATTACTATTTACAAATTCAGATAGGTATATCATTTTTTTAGGTGTTTCTGCACAAAAGTATATATATATATATACTATGTACCTACTATAATAGTTCTTTCGAAATTGAGTATGGAATTGTAGATTATCGTTTAAAATACGTGACAGAAACCGGGCACTGTACACGCTCGCGCAGCGGGCTAAATTGTCCGACAACAACGGTTAACTGCGACGGGGACGACAATGGAATCGGAGAGTTACGGGGAGACTGCGGGTTTTTTCAAAAAATACAACGCACGGACGACGCCGAAACAGCCGGTATATATTTAGTAGGATTTCATTATCAAATACGAATAAAAATCTTAGTAAATTATATTAAAAATCAATCATAAAGAGAGAAATCCCCTAAATAGTCTATACCGGTGCGGTACCTATAGCACGAGTTAATTGTACCTACGTTCCGAAATGGCTTTTATATCGCGATTTTGTGTACGTTAACGAACGTTAAAGTCTATTGGACGATCGCCAATCCATAACTCGCAAGACATAAAAATACACGCAGACTATATAGCAGTGGGTATTGTGCAAACCGCAAGAAAATATAATTTTTTTTTTTTTATTTTTTCAATAAACCCATAACGGTTATTGCGCTATCGTAGATCCGGTGCATTCAAGTATGATGGTTGCGCCCATTATGTATATCAACGTCTATACTTTTGAACTATTTATACAAAATACTATTGATGCAACTATATAGTTAAAATGAAAGCGATTGGTAATTGTTTACTGGTGCGGGTGAAATAAGGAATTCGTTTTTTTTTTTTTTTTTATGTATGAAAAAACAATAAGCTAAAGTATAAAACAAAGTAATGTCCAGTAATCAAATTTTTGTTTTGAAACTTTGATTTGGCTTTGTTTGTTTCTTGTGTATGTTTTTATCAGGTTCCTGGCTGTACATAATATATAAAATCTATACTATATATAAAACGAACGCAGTTTTCAAATTCAATAGTCTGAAATGTATTATGGAATGCGTTTATGGAGACAATCGATATGTAGCATGGGCACCCTAAATTTGTTTTTGTCTTGTTCATTGTCGAACGATTGACCTATTATGAATGTAAGTGATGCACTAAGCAATCGAAAAAATCATTATAGATGTTCGTTGTTTCGTCTTGAAAAGTCGGCTTTTCGAATTTAAACATCCAGTTTTTCCTTTTTTATTCCAGGATACAAGTCGATCTAAATATTCCGAATAAGTAAACACAATAGTGAACTCAAATCCGCAGTTTTCGGATTTCTCACAGTCTTTGGTATAAACCACTAGTGATGATAAATAAATGTCCAAAATATTTATAAACTAAAGCCTAAAGCGTAGAAAAAAAAAAAAAAAATGATTAGCTCGCAAATGTGGTTTCATAAGTATTTACCTATTTTTCCAGAGGGTAAATCATTGATCAATAACAGTATTGACCAGTGATTTTACACCAGATTCTACAAGATTTTCCCAATGATTACCAAGATTTTCTATAAGATTTCCTGTAAGATCAAAACAAATGGTCATGATTACCCAAACATTTGTACATTGATTTCCGTTAGTGATTTATTCTCTATGTGTATTATAATTTGTATACATTCCTGTATAGTCAGCGCAACCTTATAATATTTATATATTTCAATAGAATGCACTACCTAAACTAAGCGTGCGGTTAAATAATCTTCTACCAATAAATATTTTATTAAAAAAAAAATCAAATTTACCAGTGACTGTTAAAAGTTAAATAATAAAAAAAAATAAATACTTACGACAGCGGTCCATGTCAAATTCCAATTCAACCCGAATAACTGTGTTTGTATAACATTATACACGATAAATAACTGGAAAATGATAATTCATAAATAACGCGATAAGCAAAAGAGTATTGGAGAATATTGTAAAATATCGTAAGTTATGCAGTCGTAAAGATCGCATCAGCTCACACGGTTTGTAAACTGTCAAACAAACGTAAATTGTAAATCGGCGTAAACAAACTTTCCGCGTCAGGGAACCGTGACGACCGAACGAATAATATTATTATAAATATCGGCTGATTTATCCGCTTGCCGAATCATTATTTAATTAAACGATTTTCACATACGCCGGACGATTACCCGTCTGCAATATTATAATTTACAATATGTATAATATATTGGACTTTTCCGGTTGGCTCAGAATTCAAAAGAAAAATCGATAACGTTTTTGATAACGTTGATAACTAGAGCAATGGCGGATCCGTAGGGAGGCCCAAGGGCTTCGCCTACCTTCCCCCCGGACTATAGACTATATGAAAGTTTTTTCATCCACAAATGATTGATTGTTTAACGCATACATTATAACACGAGATTTTCAAGGAAGAAAAGCGAATAAGAACGAAGAATGTATTGATTGTACCATAGTATGATGTATTTATATTTAAATACTTTTTTTTTCAGTCCGTGAACAAATCTCCTATCAAAAATATTACTTCAATCAAAAAATAAGTTAGCAATGGTTTATCAGTGCTTACAGATATAAATTAAATTAAATATGTATTATCTTCTCAATTTCTCACCCACAACAGTGAGTGCCAGTGGGTGTACCCAATGGCGGCGAGGAGTATTTTTACCTTGAATCACCGATTTAATTTTCCATCCGCCCACCCACTCAACCCTACCGTAAAATTCCCAAAATCTACAAACTAGGGATAAAAACCATGTTTCCATGGAAATAAATAATATTGGTCTAGGTATGTTGGCAAAAGTTGCATTAAATTTCAGTGTGAAAAGGTATTAGAAATCGGGTTTTTCCTGTGAGAACGTGAAATTTGAGCACACAAATGGTTGGACGTAATTTTCGTTAGACCTCCCTGCCTCATTCGCCATTTAGAAAATATCATTTTTTTTTTTTTTTTTCCATTCAATATTCAGTTTGCATTTAATATGTATTTGTACGACCAATTCCGAAATTTCTATACCATTTTTTATTACAGTAAATCAAATTTTAAATTAGAGGTGGGAGAGAAGTCTCGCCAGATCGTCTAATGAAAGTAGGTTTACACGAAATTTAAAATTCCACCTCAGGTCTCGGTTTGTAACATGTAAAACAGAAAATCCTTTTTTATCAATATTTGACCATAATAACGACAAATTGAAATCAATAAATCGATATCTATATAGATAGGTACGGTTTATGGTATTCTAACAGCTAAGTCACTGATCAATAATTCTATTTGATATTAAAAATACCTAATATTATAATAATATAATAACATCTAATCTTCCACCTACGGTTGTACAATAGGTTTTTGACTATATTCAAGTATCATTAAAACACTAGCATCGTACTACTTTAATAACCTAATCATTTGAAAATATAAACAAAAATTTAAAAAATAATAATAAGAAAATGTCAAAAATAAGTACCTACCTAGTTCTTTTAGTTCTAAAGTGGGTACGTGGGTAGATTTTATATGCCAACAAAATACGGACAAATTATATTTTTTTATGCACGTGATAAACATATTGTTTGTCATTTTTAGTAAGTAACAATAATTTTAAAAAACTAGAAACTCGGAATATAATTATATAGGACGGTTTTCCTTTAATAAATTAGAAGAAAAATAACGTTATTCCTAGACCTATAGAGGCTCTCTATTTGGTTTTCTTTAAAACCAAATGCCTAAAAGAATTACGAAAAAGCAAAGTTTAGTTTAGTTTGAAAATGTGAAGAGGTTTAACTTGATAAAATCTACCAATAAAATAACACCAAATAGTATTGAGTTTTTTTAAATATTCTTAAACTACTTCATTTGATGTTGAACAACAATTTACAAACATTTATTTACAAACAGAAATCACAGTTTCAAGGAAGAAAAAATTAAATACCATTCAACTGGAAGGTAACAAGTCATAATTTAGTATTGTTATTTTTATCAAAACTGAGTAGTACAATTTTCAAGTATTTCTGATCAGCCAAAATAATTTTATTCACATAAAAAACAATTAAAATTTAAAATAAACTCAAATATCAAATAATAATAAAAAGCTCAAAAATTCGTCGGAATGTTATGAAAATTTTACGTCTACAAATGCTAAGTATTCGTGTTTTTATAATTATTTTTATACGAATCTCAAAAACAAACAAAACCCGAAATGA